TAAGCACCTTAGTGCTAAACGATACATACCCTAAAGAAAGATTTCATAATTTTAATACTTCGTTGTTTTGATCTTACGTTACACCTGACTTGTAATGTGATTGGTCAAAAATCATGTGATTGCGCTCTCCCATTCGCCACCACTAAGTTACTAATAGTTTCGTCACTCGCCAAGGTTTCATCTGACGAGTGATTTGACGAAACCATTTTGTCATCGCAAAAATAGTTTCGTCAGGCATCATTAGATAGCAAAGAGTAAGATAAGCTTTTTTTACTAAAAACATAACCTTTCTCCCTCAGTCTCATTGATCTGATTCACGCTTGAAGCCATATGAAAATACTCCTTTACTTTAGCACTAATTTGTTAACTTCGTCACTTAACGGTCATAAACTTAACCAAAAAAAACCTGATCTAAGGAGAACAACACAAACATTATAGTCCATAAATGTTCAATCTAAGAATGTTATCCATAAAGTCATCTGATCTTGCAATTCGATGACAAGCTACTCATTATTAAAAAATTAAAAAGAACATCTCATCATCGTTGATGATAGCAATTGAAAGAAGAAAGATTATCTATTATTATGCTCCAGAATAAGGATGGGTTCGTTTACGGTTATAGCCATTTAGTCGCGGTTATTACCCGTTACCAATACTAGCCGGTCAGAGCGGCTCGACTGCCCGACATAACCGATGACAATCAGCGTTTAATATCAAATGTAATTTTCACACGCACATATTTTCCCACACCAGCATGATGGCATGTGAATACGCCGTGTCAGTATAATCTTAACTCCTACTAGATTTGGATAAATGACAACCATTACTTATACTAAAAAAGGATTTTTCAAAAAAGTTGAACGGAAAACAATACCTCCCACATTTCATGTTACACATTCATGTGATCGTACTGGTATAACTATTGAATCAATAAAAGTAACATATGAACATGACCCGGTACTCGGGTACATTTTTGTCCGACTTAACCTGATCGGGAATGTCGGAAGGTGATTTTCAAGGCAAAAGACCCCATATATCGATATATCGATATATCGATATGCATATGAATACAGAATTATGTTACTTTCAAAGCATCTTCGCTGGCAAGTAGTTAAAAAAAATTTTAAAAGATTTATCAGTTTGAAAAATTGCCAAACACTTAGGTGTTAGTAAGTCTTCTACAGGTCAGGTTCTCAAGCACTTTCAAAGATATTGAAAACTTCCATCACTTTCAAGAAACCATTATTATTAAACACAAACGATATAAAATATCTTAACACTTTAATGAAAGAAAACTTGACTGTTATTTGTATGAATTACAATCCGAAATGGAACTTTAGTTGGGATAAAAATTAGGCATATAACAATTTAAAATGTAATACATTCGACTTAGATATACACATAAGAAAGTATTTTTACTATATATATATATCGATATATATTTTTTATTTTATAAATTTATATCCGTGCCTTTTTGGTTGACAAGAATAATTTATCATAAGTATTCGTACAAACTAAATACACTAAACACAGATAAGATTATCTGTAGAACAAGTATGGTATTACATGAATATAAAAACGTATGTTTTTTATATACTGATCATGCCGAAATCAATAACTTAACCGAATCGGCCGAAAAATCACTTCAGCAAATTTTATCAGGTGTCCCAGGAATTATGATAATAGTTGTTGGAATTCCAAAACCTGACTGCCCGATTTCGAATTGGAAGCCGGATTCTAAATCGGGACAAATTCCATATGGGGTACAACATATACAGTATAATAACATAATTAACCTAAGATATTTGTTATATATAATGCTTCTTTAGCGATCTAAATTTTACATTTGATCTATTATAAGTAACGACTAAGACTGTGGACATTTTGTAGACAAAAGGTAACTACCTTTACGTCAACGTCATAGCATATACGTCACATTTGACGTAGACGTAGAAGGTAACGTTTGCTATAATGCCATAGCAGGTGACGTATGACGTAATGACATATATATGATGTTTGACGTGATGCCGTATATGTTGACATGTGACGTAATGCCATATACTTGCCATATGCCTTGCCGTATGCCGTAATTCTGTATATTTGCCGTATGCCGTAATGCCGTATATTTGCCGTATGCCGTAATACCATATACTTGCCGTATGTCGTAATGCTGTATACTTGCCGTATGCCGTAATGCCATATACTTGCTGTATGTCGTAATGCTGTATACTTGCCGTATGCCGTAATGCCATATGCTTGCCGTATGACGTAATGCCGTATACTTGCCGTATGTCATAATATTGTATACTTGCCGTATGCCATAATGCCGTATACTTGCCGTAATGCCATATGCTTGCCATATGCCGTAATGCCATACGTATACTTACCGTATCAGGTATGTCGTAATTAGGGCTTACTGATTTCTTATTCAAATAATATTCGAATAACATATTGAATACGAGGAATAAACAAAAAAATTATCATCAGAATTACAAGACTAGAATCTACTTTATTATTTTTTTTGCGTGTTGACGATTTTTCCTGTAGACATGATTAATTTAATATAGTAACGTTTTGGGAACAAATCGAACTGCAGTTTAAAGTAAATAAAGTACTGTATCAATAACTTTCTGGGGTGACGCATTGTTGACTTAAATTTTATTAAAATTTAATTTTAATGCAATATTAGCTAATACCAAAATTACATAAATTATTTTGTAATATATTTTTTTTATGTAAATGTGCCTTGAAATAGAATTTCTTTTATCGCAACACAGTTTCAAGAGAACCATCAGCCTTTGCGGGTTTTGGTAATATATGAATATCTTGTTCCACAATAACAATAATGCACATTCCAATAGCATTTTCAGATTCAGCAGATTTTTTGTAGCGATCTTCTCAACTCTGATTTCACTTGCATCACCCATATTGGCAGATTTTAGATAGGTAATACCATGCATTTATCTTTTTCAACTTTAATTTTTTTGTCATAACAACGATATCGGCATTATATATTTCAACATATTTATTGACTATTATTTTGATTTTCACGTTCTAAAAAACCATTTAGTACATCAAGAGGGTTATAATCCAAATCAGCAGGAGAAATGGTTTGGGCCGTCTTTGTCGAATGTTCAGAATTGTTTTCAACTGTCAAATCAACAATATTCTCAATTAATAGGGTTGTAGAATGATCAGATGCTACACTATTTACCGAATTTTCACTGCTAACTCTTATTTGATCATCCTCAAAATTCATTATATTACCAACGGATGTCAGATTACATGCATCTCAAAGATCACTTTCTGACAATTCTTTACCGAAAAAACTTAGCTCACGTCGAATGTTAGTCATATAATATGATCTAATTTTTGCCATTCCTTCCAGCCTATTTAAACTTAAGCCTACTCGTCGCTCCCCAAGAATCCACTTTAATGTTGAAAAATTCTTCTCACAGCCAGCTTGTGTAGGGTTAATCGAAAATATCCTGTGTGCCAATTCAGCTAAATGTTGAGGTTGATTCTTGAAAGAACCCCACCAAATTTTTGGAGTGTCTATATTAGCAACATAGGGAAGGTCAAATGGTGGCAAACGTGCCTCAAAACGGCGCAATTGTGCAATCAATTCTTCACCTTCTGATCGAGTATGGCCAAGATTCTGCCAAAGTTCAAGAGAAGTAAGTGCTGCTTTATGAAACCCTGGTCTTTTAAACCTTTTCCTAAAAAATTAAATAACGATTTCAAATTAATCAATAAATTACTACTTTAGTTGATTTTTTATATCGGCCAGAATCACCGTTTTTAAACAGCTGGATAAAATATAGATTCTCCGTTATACTCCAAACAATTATAAAAAATCTTACCTCTATATTCTGGATGAATATAATAAGCTAAAATATAAAGTAGATGTAAAAATTCCTCATAACGTCGATTAAAGACATAAATGGCTGAAATTTTAAAACTGTTTGTTTCAGATAAGTTATTAATTGCTGCGGCTAACTTAATCAAATAAACAAAGCAATCAGCTAATGTTGCATTATTAGCTTCT